GATCCCCCAGCACCACATGCCAGCCAGCCCCGCCTCCTGGTGGGCTGAGCTGGCCACACACACACACAATAAATAAATGTAATAAATAAAAATAAATAAATATTTTTTTTTTAAAAAAGTGGGTTAGATGTAACTAGAGGCTAGGATTCTAGTAGGGACATGCCCCTGCCTCCTTCCATCTGTGTCACTTTACAGGAGAGGTACCAGCAGTAGTGCCCATGTGAAATGGCGCTCAGTATTGAGAATGTGGCTGGCTTGCTCTGCTGGCTCTGAGCCTGGATCCCCTGACACAACTTCGTTGTTTCCCTTGTCATGGGATATAAAGGATGTGTGAAGGTACAGGGGCACCAACATTAAAGCACCTCTTCTTTCCCAACAGGAGGTTCTGGGGGAAGAGAAATTAAAAGAGATACTGAAGGAACGGGAACTTAAAGTTTACTGGGGAACAGCAACCACAGGCAGGCCACATGTGGCTTACTTTGTGCCCATGTCCAAGATTGCCGACTTCTTGAAGGCTGGATGTGAGGTAAGCCCTCCTGATATCAAGCAAGCAGTTGCCCTTGGAGAAAGACAAAAAGAGGGCCTTAAGGGTGAGCAGGGGTGGGAGAGGCAGTGGGAGAGATGGTATGGTTTAATGGTGCTAGAACAAATTGACATTTTGGTGGTCCTTTGTCCCTTATATCCAGGTAACCATTCTGTTTGCGGATCTTCATGCATACCTGGATAACATGAAAGCCCCATGGGAACTTCTAGAACTCAGAACCAGTTTCTATGAGAACATGATCAAAGCAATGCTGGAGAGCATTGGCGTGCCTTTGGAAAAGCTCAAGTTCATCAAAGGCACCGATTACCAGCTCAGCAAGTAGGTGCTTGATCTTCCACCACCTTTCTCCTGAGTCTCATGCTTCTACTTAATTAAGGATTGTGGAGTCCAGGCACTCTAAATTTGGATTACAAGCTATTTGGCACTCTCTGTTAAGAACAAAAATTAATACCCTTTGTTCTTTAATTCATCTGCCAAAAGAAACCATCTAATAAATGACGAGGTATTATTCTGTTTTCTGGAGATATGCAAGGGGTGTTAAAAAAATATATACATACAATGACTGTTTTATTTTATTTTAGAATTTTTTTGTGTGCTGGGAATTGAACTCAAGATCTTGTTTGCCAGGCAGGTGCTTGTGCTGCTGAGTCATATCCCCAACTCTGAATGTTGAACTTTAAAAATTGTAGCTAGGCCTGGTGGTACACACCTGTAATCCCAGCATTTGAGAGGCTAAGGCAGGAGGATTGTCAGTTGTTCAAGGCCAGCTTAGACTGGGCAGTGAGTTCAAGAGTAGCCTAAACTATATAATAAGATCTTTCAGAAAAACCAAAAGGCAACTATATTGAAATAAAAGACACATTGCCAGTAGTCTCCCTCAAAATACTCCTCATTTGAACATATTTATCCTGTTGCCACTTTTGGAAGCAGTTCTAGAAGCCCTCTTTCGTGAGTGTCTTCAAAATGAACATGATCAAAAGTGGGGTGAATGCTGCTGCGAGGTGACATTCAATAGAAAGGCAAGTTCATAAGAACATTAGTGTATCCTCATTTACTTTATTACCAGATCTGACACTGTGCAACTTTTGGCTCTTCCCTAAAGTCAGAATGATCATAATATTTGACCAAGATGACAGTAAATAATTTGAATAGATTCAAAACATTGAGGCATGGGGCCAGGGAGATGTCTCAGTGGAATAAGCGCTTCCCTGGCAAGCACAAGGGCTTGAGTTCAATCCCTGCTTCCGCAAAAAAAAAAAAAAAAAAATTGAGGCAGCCATGACAATCCTAAGAAGGATTCATGGAAAAGGACTTACAGAACTGCTGCAGAATGTGGCAAGAACAATGGGATAAGTGTGGTCAAAACAACAGATTCATAGTAACCCTCCTGTCTCAGCCTGCCAGGGCTGGGATTACAGACGTGTACCACCATGCCCTGTTTCAGGACAACTCCATGCACTGGGGTTCCAGGGCCAGCACTGTGCGCTGGGGTTCCAGGGCCGGCTCGGCACAGCACGGCATGCTGGTACTAGGGATCAAACTGAGGTCCTTGCGCTTGTCAGGGAGATGCTTAGACCACCGAGCTATCTTCCCAGCCAATAGCAGTATGTCTTTTACTACAGTAATTTTTTTTTTTTTTTTTTTGTACTCAGTGA